AGTAGGAAAAACCAATGATCTTCTCCTTCCTCCCCCATGTTTCCATCAGTGTTTCCCCTGTTTTCCTGCTCATTCAACTTCCTTTGCTTTAGTTTATCCTCTGTTCATCTGCCCAGGGGTACAGCCTTCCCTCTTCAATTGCTGACCCACCCCCTCTTCCCCATCAAATCGACCCTCCATTTGCATGCCTGCCTATAATCCAGCACCCACCCCTCATCCTGCATGCTCCCTCTAGGTAATTAAGATCTCTGATTCTACGGTTTTCTTTTCCATAATAGACTCAGCAGACATTAAGCAAGCTGCCAAGTCTCTCTCTCTCTCTCTTTCACACGCACACATGCACGCACACATGCACGCACACAAACACACAAGCAAAACAGTAAATATGAATGCATATACCAAACAGCTGATTGCACACCAGTCCCCTCTCGCCCCTCTGCCTTTTCTTTCAGTCGTTTTTCAGCACAAGTCATGGTCATTATGTGTTTTAACTCTTTTGTTGTATCTCAGTGATGGCAGCGTGCAGGGCGACTTGCAGCAGAAACAGTATTTTCTGCACAGCTCAGACTTGTCTGGCTCAGCTCGGCCCTCTCGCCGCTCCTCTAGCCTCCCCGCAGACCGACACTCGACAGCTACAGGGACTCAGTCATGTACTACTGCAACAGCGGAGCTCGTTCAGCAGCCAGAAACACAGCCCTCACAAATTGAACACGGCAATGGTATCTCACCGTTTGCGCTCTATTTCTCTCTGACTTTATCTGGCTCTCTGAATTCCCCCGCCTCATTTTGACACTTTTCAGCTGCTTCTATTTTTTTCCCCACTCACCTGCAGTGAAGGAAAAAGTGCCCTGGATTGCACAAAATCTCATGGTCAGAACTACAAAGTATCAAAGAAAATATTCCCTGAATTTCCCTCATCGGTTTATTGAGGTAAAATATATTTTGAAGGCAAATTATTTTGAAAAATGTTATCAGTTTGCACCTATAAACTCCACACTTTGCTTTCAGTCAAATGCAGAACCTTTCTTAATGTGAGCTTGGATCTCCCACTGTGATCCGTCTACTTCTGATTGATTAGGAAAAGGCCCCTTGTGTCTAAACAACATGAGGTTGCTAATAAAGACAGGAACATGGGGAGCCCTTATAATTCTGATAATCACTGTAATGATGTTAACAGTGGTGGAGTCGCTGCCATCTGAATCTTTTATTTCTGTACGGTCTACTCAGTCACAGCAGAAAAACTTTATTGTTTTGGTCCTTGTCCTGGAACAACTCAAACCTGTGAAGCCAAGGGCTCTGACTTTAATTTGAAGGTGTCCCAGCTGCAGATTTCTTTAGGGTGAAGGGCCTAAACCTCTAATAATCAGTATTTTTGTTAAACAGGACACAAAACCAGATGATTACGGAAACATTTGACTTTTTCCACTTCTTACCTGTAGTGCATTTAGCTGCAATTTCATTTCTAAGCATACACTCAGCCTTCTACATAATGCAAATGAAAAAAATGACTCTTATACCATATTTTTCGCTGTTGAGTGGCAACATTTTGCATAAAGTTGTAAGTTCTGCAACTTAAACACCGAAGCGACTAATATACGTGTTTTACCCATATTTATAATCCAACTTTTGGCTGAGATCTGACGATTTCATTAATTCTGACATGGAAAAAATTGAACTCTACCATTTGCAGCCTCTAGAGGGCCCTCGCGGTATATGGCAAACCAAGTGTCTCATTAATAGGTAAAAGTGACTATTAGTGAGACACTTGGCTTGCCATAAGCAGTCACTTTCGTCTCACTCTGGAACTCCTGTAGCAAACGTCAAATCAGCTGCATTTCTTCACGCCGCCCAGGCAAAATGCAGCAGATTTGACCATTAAAGTGCATTTATTAAGGAAAAGTTCAACTGAGACACAACTTTACTATAATGTCGAGCAAACAAATAATTGTTTTTAGCTGGCTGTCTTAGTAAATTTCGAACAAATGCATAGCGAGTCACAACTCAATGCTCCCGCAGCCGCAAACATGCTGTTGAAATGCAGCTGATTTGACCATTAAAATGCATTTATTAATGAAAAGTTAAACTGAGCCACATCTTTGATATAATTTCGAGCAAACAAATATTTGTTTTTAAGTGTTAATCTTGTAAAATTCTTGTTAAAGTCCTCCTGTGCACGCTTCCATTTGGCACAACACCAGCCCACATTTCCGGGTGGTCAGTGGTGATGCATAATAGATGTGACTTATACGGTGAAGCAACTAATTTATGTTTTTTCCCACTTTATTAGACATATTATAATGCGACTTATACAGAGGTGTGACATGTATGGCAGAAAGTACGATAATCAGATTTCTGCTGCTCCCTGATGGAAAGAGTGTTGCTTTAAAAGTACGATGAGTCGAATCAACTTCAGACTGCCGTAATTTGTTATTGGTTCAGCTTTTGGGAAATAACTTTTTACTGGTAGGCGCCAATGAGTTGTGACTGCAGAAATTATCTTTAATGATTTTTGTTTTGTTTTGTATTTGTATTATTGACTAAATTTAACTTCATCAGTGTAACATAAAGTTTACCTAACTAACATATCAGACAGGAGAGAATATTTCAAATCACTTGCTGCCCCGATATATTTTAATTGAAACTATTTGAGACTAAGTGAAATTTATTTATTTAATTTAATAATGTAGATGATTAAAAACATGCATTTCCCCTTGAGTTCTGGTGCAAGAACTGCAAGAATTGACTTCAAATTAAAACCACTGAAGTAAAGTGAAAAAGCCTTAAATTTAAACCTCAGCACAGTCCTTGAGTAAATGTACTTTTTCACCACTGCGTTTCTGTCACTCCATCCCTTTCTGGCTCTGCGTCTCTTTCTGCAGACACTTTCCAATCTCTTTTTTCTATATTCAATTTTGTTCTTTCATTCCCTCATCGGTGCAAGCCTATTCTCTCTGCTTCTTCTTCTTCTTCTCCTTTTTTAAAATACTTTTTCTGTTTCTTTCAAAGCTTTCCATCTCCTTCCTCCTTCCTCTTTCCTCCTCTCCTGGGAGTAAAGATACTTTAATCCTCTTTGTCTAATGCTGTCAATAGCTCTCAATAACAATGAAATAGCACCGCTTTCTATCCCAGCGCTGATGAAGCCATAGCCTTAGTTAGGATCTTATTCGTCATCACGGCAATCCACCTCCTGGTAATAGCCAATCAGGTGGCTCCAGCGAAATGCACTGCTCCCATGATAGGTTCCCCGTTGTTTTGATTGACCGCACCTGAGGGCCCACCACTTCAGCTGGTCTCGATCAATAACCCATCACGCACACACGGTAAGCTCATATAAACACCCAGGTAGACGAGATGAGGCGACACACACACACACACACTTTTGGGGCAAGAGCAGACTGAGACAGAGAGACCACGGGAATAGGAAGCAAACAGAATAATGTAGAAATAGCCAGCAGAGATCTTATGGCTCAGTCTGAAAAATCAGCTGTTGCATAACCGTTGCACACACAAATCAAACAACAGCATGAAACTTTGTTCTCGCGGGTGCAGAGATTGTTTTTATTTATTTGCTGGCAGCTTTGCAGTAACATGCTGCGTTAAGCAAAAATGATGTATTGAAGACGGTGAAAGGGAAAACGTCTCCCACTCTGTGCCTGTTATCCTATGTTGTGTCACACATACAGATGGCCTCACATTAGCCCTGCCTCTGTTCCCTCTGAGCTGCAGAAACCATAATGAGAGCCACACAGCCATCTGCACAGTATGGTGTGTGCCATTAGTATTACAAACATGTGCACACGTTTGGCCAACCATTGAACAAGAGACGTTTGGTCAGAAAGGATGGTCAGCAACTGTATGGAGAGATAAGATGGTAAAGGAGGAGTCAAACAAGTGCTTTTTTATTTAAAGAAGTGGTTTAAACATCAAAGCTAAGCAAAAGTTGGAAAGGTGACTGAGGAGGAAACATAAAATGAAGATATCAAAGGGAAATATTAAGAATGGAAAGTGGAGGGATGCTGGTTCAACAAAACATCCAAGAGTCCATTATCTTTGTCTTTGATGTGCACATAAGAGTAGACACATGCACCTCTCAGGTCCCCCCGCCTTTGTCAGAGCCAGCCTCCGACTGCTGTTTACAGCTGCACAGGTCAATTGAAGGTCCTGAACTCAACGTTTCAACTGTCAGAGCTGTCTAAAGCTCAAATCAGCGAGCGAGAAGTCTGAAACACCCCCGCACCATCAACACAACCCTCGCTAACGACACAACCCCTCTCTCCAACTCCCATGTCTGTGACGCACTCCCTCTTCCATGCTTCTCTTCATCTCTCCATCCTTCAACACAACCTTGTCATGTTGTCAGTCAGAGCAAGGATTTGTCACTCCTGGAGACGGTTGCTTAGCACCACTGGAGCTCAACTGAACTCGCTTTGTGTTGTTTTGTTTTTTTTCTACTCTTTTTTTTTTGCGTTTAGGTGTCTTTTTGAAGCCAGAGCTCAATGTTAGGTTAGGGAAGCAATGTTGGTAGATGCTGATGAGTGGTAAATACTATACAACTGTATATATTCAGCGCTCGCCTCTAGTATTTGCCTATCTGTGTGTTTTGATCTGCTTTTATGTTTGTGCAGATGAACTTGTGTGCCAGTGGGCTGTTTTTTTTATTTTATTTAATTCTTTTTTTCCTTTGAACGCCCTCTGGAAATCTCTTCTAGGTTAAATCCTGTCATGTCTAAATAGCAGACTTTCCAGAGGAGACATGGAAATCGTCTGTGTTTTATTACTCTACGGAATGTATGAATGGGACTGGGCTGCCTGTGTGATATGACAAGAACCATCTCCATAATGGAGTATAAAAGCGTGCATGTGTTGTCAAAGCACAGGTGTTTCAAGTACATGGAAATGTGACAGTGCAAAGGGAAGATAAAATGCATCATGGCAATTTAAAGAAAAAGTATGCCAGCAGAGAGATACTGTGTCAACTACCGTGTTCTCCGTTCCTGCAGGTGTTGGTACAGGCAGCCAGCAGACCGTTCTCCATGAGGAGCAGTAGAAGATGCCGGCTCTGCCAGCACTGCTGCTGTCAATACGCTTCCTCTTCTTCCTGCTAGTGACGATGGCACCACGCTCCCTCAGTCAGGCTCCACTACTCTCCTCCGTTCGTATGGGTAAGTGGATATGCATCCTCCTACATGGCTCAGAATGTTATCAACAAACTGTTTATTTCATTCACATATTCTTCATCGTCTGGCCAATCTAGTTTATGTAGTCACACAGTCCAGCTAGAATAATGAGACAAAGCTGTTGCAGTTACAGGCACGTTAGAAATCTTGATGGTGACTTCAGGTCAGAAGTGAGTTGAATTATCTGATAATCAGCTTTTTGGACTGAGTGCAACAGCATCCCAAATCATCTGTCCACAGAATTATTTTCAAAGCTGCAAACACAAAGCTCATTTTCCCACATGCACCACTTTCAATTAGTTTGACAACAACTGAATGCATCTGCGTCGTGTCTGAATGAGCATCCCAGCGCTTTCTCTGAATAATTTTGTGAAATTTTTTTTTACAAGGTCAAACGTATAAAACATTTACAAAGCAGCAAGGCACAAACCTGCAGCACTGACATGAATGGATTACAAATAGCAGAGGTGGGATAATAAATAACTGGCGGTGGGCCATATTGACTTAGACCTGAATAGTGAGCCTCGCAGGGGACCATTGAAGTGTTAATTTGACCTGTGAATACCTGTTAAGAGCAATCTGAAAGATCACATCTTTAAATAAATATCAACTCTGGACACAGTGCCTTTAAAAAAGAATTGATACCCATCAACCTTTTTTACATTTTGTCTCGTTACAAATACACACTTCAACATTTTTCACTGATTTCCTGAAATAGACCAACACAACATTATTGTGAAGTGAAAGAAAAATGATACATAATTTAGAAACTTCTATTACAAATAAAAAAATCAAACAATGTGGCACGTAATTGTATTTAGCCTCTTTTACTCCGATTTCCTGAACTAAAACCTACTGCAACCAGTAGTGTATGATGACATTTCAAAATAAGTTTAGCTGTTTTTGAAGGTCTAGATGTTTGCTACTGAATTTTATTGATCAAGTTGATGATGAACAAGTAACACACCAGACAGGTCAAGGATAAAGTTGTTAAGTTTACAAGAGGGTTATGTTATAAAACAATGTTGCAAACTTTGAACATCTCATGGAGCTCTCTTCAATCCAGCATCTGAAATGAAAAGAGGATGGCCCAACTGCAAACCTAGACATGACAGTCCACTTCCAAATGATGCACTACTTTGTGTTGCTCCATCACATATCTCAGAGTAAAATACAAATACTTTGATCCTTGCGGTTGTAAAGTGACAAAATGTTTAAAAGTTCAAGAGGTGTGAACACGTTTTGAAGGATTTGTACTTTCCCCACGTGTTTCGTTACAATTTACTGCAGCATCAAACTGTTTTCCAGAGCATCTAAACCAAGTAAACATGAAATAGATCAAATTAAATTGTAAACACAGCGAATTTAAAAACAAGTGGCATTAGCCAAAGTGCTGCACATGATATTAAATAGTAGAAAGATTATACGTAACCAAACAGAGCATTCAAAAAAAACAAAAAAACAACAATATACATTTTGATAAGACATAAAAATCAATAAAATTTATTAAAAAATGCCAACTCTCAAGCTTAAATGTATGTTAAGATTAGACCTAAAGCCACCACGAGTGAAGCCTGTCTGATAGTAAGGGGCAGCTGGTTCTACAGTTTAGGATTTGAAAAAACCCGTCGCAGGTGTCAAACTCAAGGCCTGTGAGCCAAATCTGGCTCTTATTAATATCTTATCTGAACCCCCAAGATGATATTTCAAATGCAAAATATTGTTGATGCTTCTAATTTTACTTTAAAAACTGATAAATGTTTCGTTTAATACAGACTTATGACAGTTTGCTAATTTTGAAGCCAGAAAAAAGATTGCATTGTTTTTTTAGTAATTTTTCATTTTGATGTTGAAAAACAACCGACGTCATATAAGACCAGTCAAACTCTTGTTTGAACCTGCAACCAAGAAAAGATGTTGACTATATGATTTACTGTAAGTTAACGTATCGACTGAAACTGGCCCTTGACTTGGACCAAATTTTAAATTTTGACCTGCTTTTGTAACTGAGATTGACACCTCTAGATGCAGGAGGTCAGACAGAAGCCTGTCCATTCAAGGCCTTATATGTCATCAATAAAACATTTAAATTAATTCTAAAACAAGCAGGGACATGATGAAAGGCAGCAAGCACTGGGGAGGTACGCTCACAGTTTTTCTTTGTGTTAGAAGACGAGCTGCAGCGTTCTGAACTAACTGTGGTCATGAGAGGCCAATGTGACTAACACCAACATACAGAGTTACAATATTCCAGTTGAGAGTGATAAAAGCACGACTCACCTGTTCACAGTCATAAAAAATACATTTCACTTCAGATAAAACCCTCATAAAAAACAATCTCTTTACAGAATTAATCTGTTAAAGGTTTAAATTTGACTCATATCATGCACAGTTTTTTATGTGAGATTTTACAAATGGCTCCAAGCTACCCAGATCTGTAGGAGAGCTGTTTTAAATATGCGTAAATATGTTGAACTGCCCCTTCTCATCTTTCTCTGACTCTATAAAATCATTTTAAACCATGTACTTTTTTTTATTTTTAGCTTGATACACATTTTTGTAGGAACAGTATTTGGCTGTTCAGAATAAACCATAACTCTTTAACCACGTCTAGAGTAATCAAGGATTTAAGGTTTTTTATTTGTCGTGCACACCACATGTGGTACATGTGGTGGAGTGAAACTGTGTACACAGGTTCCTAGTTACATCCAACAAAAGTATAAAATGTAAAAGAAAAACAGTAATAAGATCTAAGATATGAACTAAGTAAAACATTAACAAAAATACGAGAAGCACTAGTAATATAGAAACAATACGCCGAACAGCAGCACGAACATGAGTCTGTGTGAGCAAATGAGCATGAATAAACACACAACAGCATGATGGAATTTTTTTCCCCCATAATGATAATTCTGGTTAGAGATTCATGAGTCTAACAGCCTCAGGGTAGAAGCTGTTCCTCAGTCTAGTGGTTCTACACTTAATGTTCCTTGACCTCCTTTCTGAGGGGAGCGGGGCAAAAAGTAAGTGTGCTGGGTGAGTGGGTGAGGTCCTTCATGATGCAGGCGGCCCTCTTCCTGCATCTGGAGGTGTAGATGTCTGTGATGATGGGGAGGAGATGGTGATTGTTTGAGGCATTTTGATCCACAGACAGTCTTAATGGTGGAGACTGAGTCATTAGATGAAGTTAAATATCAAGTTTTTCCCAAGTTTAGAACAACTTGAGCTGCTGATGTCAATCTCTAATCAGAACCAGTCTTCAGTAGCAATGAATGTTCAGTGAACTTGATCATGTAGAGACGTTTCAGCTCCTTTTGTCCACCCACTGTGTGTTTTACACAACCACTGCACTCTTAGCAAACTCATTTGAATTGTTATGACAGTGTGATGTAGTATGAGCAAACTGTGACTCCATAAATACTTCCATATTGTACTTTACTTGATTATAGTTATCCTCATGCCTGCGTCATGGTGAGTTCATTGATGATGGGGAACTTCTGGGTATTCATAACAACAGTCTGTCAGCAATGTCTTTCCACTTAGCAATGTCTCATGCCCACAAAGGATCTGATTCACCAAAGGACTGTGCTGCTTTTGTCCTCACTTAATAGCAGTCCTTGCAAAGGGTGAAAGGTGCCTTAAATGGTTCTGAAAACCAAATAACTTTTACACAAAGTCGTTTTTATTTCTTTCAAACACAAACTACATGAAATGGTTTTAAAGTCACATACTGGAGGTGGACTAAAATAAGTAAAAAAAAAAAAAAAACAGCTGAATTTCAAAGAAAATCTTTAAAAGACCTTCAGAAAGCCAGAAGAAACATTGATCGTGACCTTTTTAAGAAAGTTACAAGAAAGTCTGACTTTATATTTTATGTGAAATGTAAAGACATGAAGGGAACTTTTGCACATAGCTGAGCACTGAGGTTAGAAATCAAGCCGAAGATGAGATACATGTGACATTTGGTCAGAGGGTGCACTCTGAAATTAAAATTATATGCAGACACAGCCCACACACCACACTGCTGGTGTGAAGCGGTGTAACGTGTGAATGCCAAATATTTGTCATACCACATGGGTTTTATCGTCACTCTCAAGGTCATGAATGAATGAAGCCGTGACGAAAGTGAGCAATGTCTAAATGAATTATTGCTGTCACTTAAACAGATCAAAAACGTTATTACTGTTAGTCTGAAAAGGGCAATAAACTCTGGTTTGGGTCTAAACCGGTCAGAACCAGAAATAACTTTCCACTGTTGGTTTGCATGCAGCTTAGATGAGGTTGGAAGTTTCTCGAATGAAGAGACTTTGAAGCCTCTTAATATATTTATAAATGTAATAGTTCATGCTAAATGTCCCCAAATGTTCTAAAAGTATGCCTTTGCATTCTTATAGCACTATTTTAACATAAACTAATACATTTTTAAATATTTGACACAAAATGTAGTAAATCTGGAAGGGTTTGAGAACTCTTCAAACGGGAAAGAGTTAGAGTTGCATTCAGGCCAAAAAAAAATCCAACCCAGCCCCAGCCCATAGCCATTTTTTCCAAACCCGACCCAATCCGATCAAATTAACTGTAATTATAGGCCCAAACCCGAAAACAAAAACCGACATAGTTTTTATTAAGCTTTTACTGCTTTTGTAATCAAATCAGTTTGACATAATATTTTAAAAAAGTATTTAAAAGAAAGGAACATAAGATTTTCTGTTTCACCAAATGGATATTAACATACAAAACGGATAACTTATAAAAGTCAACTGTAAAGATAGGCTGTTATACAGATGAACAAAACTATGTTTAGAGCTAAATTATTTGGAAAAATATAGAACAAGGCTATTCTAATTGAACGCGCTGCTCGCTTCAGCTTTTTGTAGATGATGCGACTTCCTTCACCGCAGATGACAGCAGGTGCAGAGACACACGCAGCCGGTGATCAGCAAATCCATCCATCCATCCATCCATCCATCCATCCATCCATCCATCCATCCATCCATCCATCCATCCATCCATCCATCCATCCATCA